CGTTTGAAGGATCGACTGTGACTGAGACCGAACGTTGGGACACTGAGCAGCTGTTTGGTCCAGAATGCCTCGACAGTCGTGAGCTTTCTTTGGAGCCTGCAGAGATGAAACGCCCGGTGTCAGATGCTGCGAAGCAGCTCCAGAACAGAACCGAGCCTCCTCCAGGTTTCACTGCACTGATGGTGTTCTTGTAGGTTTCATTCATGGGTCGGCTGAGGGGACTTTTAAAAAACTAACTCCAGTTTAGTTTGTGTGTTCTCAAGGAGCCTTTTGGAAAATTACATCCTCACCTTTTCATGATTTTGTCCTGGACCAGGTCTCTTCAACTAAACTGCTCAGGGGCGTCCAGCAGTTATTCTCATCAAGTTTTATGATTTAAAATGGACCCACTGGTGGGCCGAACTGAGCACACCCGTGGGCCTGATTTGGCCCCTGAGCCACCAGTTGAATAGCCTTGATCTAGCCCAGTTGTTCCATGAGGTCCACTTTGTCTCAGGAGCATCAGTGCCAGATTAGAGCAGAGCTGTAATCTGGCACTGACGCTCCATGACCTTGGAGCTCACCGCTCATTTAATGGGAAGTTGTTCTGGGCTCTCTGGAGACCAGTCGTGTTAACCCCGTCTCCAGTTTTCCTCTTGGGACAACATCCAGGGATGGTCCAGAGTTCTGTGGACCTTGAACCTCTGAATGATCTGCAGCATCTCAGAGGAGCATGAGCTGCTTGGACAACATGCAGCTCCATCATTCTCTCCGCTCAGTGGTGGACACACCATGAAGGCAAACAGCCCTGTGACTACTTTCACCTTTTAAACAGGCAGATTACAAGACCTTAGTTTAACATGTCCCATTAACTTCAGTCCTTTCTGTTTTTATTGTAAAGGCCAGTTTCATTTGTTTGTAAATATTTACATTGAAAAACAAAGTGATTTTCATTAGGTGGCTCCGTGTAGAGCCGTGTTGTCGTGTGCAGGTTAACACAAGGTCTCGTCATGAGCGCAGCCACATGTTCAGGACTGATCCGACTCGCCAACAACAAAAACAAGAAGCTGCCTCTCAGCAAGGTCGCTGGTTCAAATCCTGACAGGGGGGCCTTCTTGGGTGCAGTTTGCATGTTCTCTCTGTGCTGCGTGGGTTTTCTCCAGGTCCCACAGACCAACAACATGCATGTTGGACTGACTGGTAACTCTGAACTGTCCCTAGGTGAGTGAGTGAATGGTTGTTTGTCTCTATGTGTCCCTGTGATGGACTGGAGACATGTCCAGGTGTCCCTGTGATGGACTGGAGACCTGTCCAGGTGTCCCTGTGATGGACTGGAGACATGTCCAGGTGTCTCTGTGATGGACTGGAGACCTGTCCAGGTGTCCCTGTGATGGACTGGAGACATGTCCAGGTGTCCCTGTGATGGACTGGAGACATGTCCAGGTGTCTCTGTGATGGACTGGAGACCTGTCCAGGTGTCCCTGTGATGGACTGGAGACCTGTCCAGGTGTCCCTGTGATGGACTGGAGACCTGTCCAGGTGTCCCTGTGATGGACTGGGACCTGTCCAGTGTCTCTCACAGTGACTGCTGGACATGTGCATGAGAAGAAACGAGTGAAACATCTGCACAGCTGCTGACAAACATCTGTTGATCAGTTTGAGTCACGACAGCACAAACCCTGAAATGTATCCGTTTTAATTTAATTCAAAATAAATACTACCACGGCAACGCAAGTCCACTACTGGTTCTTGCTCTAAAGTTTTGGTAAGAAAACAAACGAGCAAATCATCAAAAAATAAAATATAATGAAATAAACATCAGGAGACTTGAGTTAACGTCATGAGCTCTTTTTAAAACACTGCTCGCCATGTTCAACAGAAATGGAACAACCTGATACAGCATTTAACAGAAAGTTGGACCCAGCCCCCGTCCTGGTTCAGGCTTTTCTTCCAGGGGGGGACGACAGTCAGTGTTTAGTTGTTTTCAGGGACTGTGTTGGAGCGCTGCAGTGGAGGTCGTCTCCATGGAAACCTCCTGAGTGAGGGGTCAACGGATCAGTGGTGGGGGGTCCTCTGAGCAGTTTGATCACGTGATGCTTCGTCTGAAGAACAAACAGTCCAAGCATCGTTGCATATGTACATGAAGTTCAGGACCACTCAGCGGTCCCTGTGGACAGCCCGTCTTCATCTGGAGTGTCTCGGCTCAGTTTTCATGTCAGTGATTCGTTGATAGTTCAGAAGAAGAGACAGGAGGAGCAGGAACCCCCCCTCATGTCAAGAACCGGTCTGAGGTTGGACCATCACAGCTGCTGCACTCCCACACTTCCATCAATACTCATTCTTTTCCAAACGTGTCCAGGAACCTGCAGGTGTTTGATGTTGAATCAGGTGTGACGTGTTTTCATGAAACCCACTTCCTGTCACCTGCTCTGAACAGACGTGATGTGGCTCCACGCACGCGCGCACACACGTCCACGTGCTGAAGAGTAACTCGGGGCTCAAACTGCCACGTCACCTGAAGGTGCTCGTTGGAAAGTACGAAACCAAACATTAAAGTTACCGTGATGTAGTTTGAAACTGACGGAGTGGTGGTGCAGAGGTTAGAGAAGGTGGGCCTGTGATCAGGTCACCAGTTCAACCCCCTGGACCAACAGCATCAAAATGTGGGTGGGAAAGGTGAAACACTCACACCTGCCTCCACCCCCATTTGCTCCACTCGGGGCCCTTGAGCAAGGCCCTTAACCCCCACCACCTGCTGCCCCGGGCGCCCCAGAAGAACATCTGCTGTAAAAACAACCACCGAGTCTTCGTGAGTGAGTTCTCTGTGACCCCTGAAGGAGGAGCAGCTGAAAGAAGAAACAAAAGGTGGAGTTTGAAACCGGGTGGGGGTCGTTCAGTTTTCAACATTTTCATGTTTGGTGTTTACTTCTCTGAGCTACATGAGCAGAAACACGGGTCGAAAGGCTGCGCGCTCCTGCAGCCACGGTGCAAGGCCTGTCTCCACCAGGGCTATTCAACTGGTGGCCCGGGGGCCACGACAGGGCCACGTCAGGGTCACGACAGGGTCAAGTCAGGGCCACAACAGGGTCACGTCAGGGTCACGACAGGGTCACGTCAGGGTCACAACAGGGCCACGACAGGGCCATGTCAGGGTCACGTCAGGGTCACAACAGGGTCACGTCAGGGCCACGTCAGGCCCACGACAGGGTCACGTCAGGCCCACATCAGGGTCACGACAGGGCCACGTCAGGGTCACGTCAGGGTCACGTCA